CCAAAAGAAATCGTACAAAGAGTACTGTACAGATAGAGAAATTTCCAAAAGAAACAGTTAACTCTTTGAAGACGTAGCGGACAAATACGTCCGATCAGCAGTACGTCAGTGGCAATGTTGTGGCACATTTTTGGACTCATCTTACACAAATTAGAAACCTGATTTACATTTAATTTTGTAACTTGTGTTAATGGTCATTTTAAAACAGAATGGAAAAGTGTATGAATAATGAAATGCTTCTTTTTTAAAGCGCCCCCAAACCGCATGTCCTTAAGCGTTTTGATGACCAGAATGCGCGTCGTCAAAGAGTTAAAAGTACAGATAGAAAACGGCATCAGTCATATTTTTACATGTTTTCTTCTAGTTCTATCTGCTTTGATCTATCGTTTGACTTTTAGATGTTGTCCACCAGCAAAAGGGTACCATATCAGCCTCAGGTGTGGTTATATATAATACAAGTAAGGTAAATGAAACGGTCGCGAATTGAGCCAACGCAAGTATTCGATACAAACGTGTAAGAGAGAAGCCTTCTTACGTAGTCTTCTATATTTTTCCCGTGATTAAATCTGTTTTTTCTCTGAAGTATAAGTCATGTCACTCAGTAAAAGAAACACTTTCACTTCCATTTCGTTCGAACAGTTCTATCACACTCACCTACGAAGAAATTAGCTTTGCGTCCGCATAGAAATAGGTGAAGTCTGTCAGTTTCCAATTCTAATAACACGAGACAGCCGTAGGGTGCATACTGTTCCAAGGGTGAACACGTCTCTGATATGACAGCACACACAAACACGAAAAGAAAAAAATATAAGTGTATGCCAGAATATCGATCTGCACTTTCCCTAATATAGATTTATAATGTGTGTGTGATCAGTTAGACTAGCACTCCGCTACTATAACCGTGTAAAGCAACGGTGTGTCAGTGCTTATCAGCAATATGCATATATATATATTTTTTAGTAGACCACCTTGTGACACACAAACCTACATCTACTCTACGAACTTTCTTACCGCCCCCCCCCACCCCCGCCCACACTTACACACACACACACATACTGGCTTCCTTTACACCCCTTGTCGAACCTTCCTTTTCAATGTCAATTCAAAACAGCACACCACAACCGCGTCGATCAGCTCTAGTCTTTTATATAGATTCCCATTCTCTTTCTTTCATAGATAACGTTACCTTTCCTTTCATAAATAGAAAGCTATTGAATTATGCTTTGAGGACAAGCCCTTCTTATTGACTCGGTGAAAGAAGCAGTGCGTCATTGACTGCCCTTGTTGTAGAGTGCAATAACTTATTATTTCTGTCTCATTGGCTACGGACGCACATACAGGAATCAGTTCAGTAGATCTCTCTGTGGGCTTTAGCCCTTTTATCAGAGGGTGGGGGGGGGG